ATATATATATATATATATTATATATATATATATATTATATATATATATATATATATATAGATAGATAGATAGATAGATAGATATATATAATTATTAAAAATATATCTTTTCCAATTTACCTTCTGTCACATTTTCAATTGTATATGTAGCATCAGCATACATTATATGTGGTTTAGAATATTGTACTTTAGCATCGTCAGTGAGAGAACTAATGCTACTATTTGATTGTTGAGATAACAAGAAACCCTAAAAAGATGAAATAATGGCAAATATACTCGAGTTATTAATAATATAAAAATGTATAAGATGAAATAAATAAGATATATACTTCATTGTGTTTTTTATTACTATTTCTTCCCATTCGTGATATGCAAATTTCTTTCTCCTTTTTCCATAAGGTTGATTCATAAAAGCTCTTGGCATCACGATGCAAAATCTGAGGTTGTATTATCGCATGTTTAATGCTGGGAGGCATACTTGTATATGGTGCCTGCAACAAAATATATATATATTTAATGTGTATTTTATTTTTATTTTTTTTTCATCAAAGATTTTAAATGTAAAAATATATTTCATTAACATTGATATATTTATCATTAACAAATTGAATTTTAAAATTATTTATTTGAAGTAAAGCTTTGCTTTACCTTTCGTTTTGGTATATATAATGATTTTGAAATAGTTCCATTATATTCAGTAGATGACTTATTATATTTAGGTTCTATAGTAGTTGTATGATTAGCTGGTTTACATGGTACATAGTCAGGACTTTTTCCTTGTGATAGTAATGAGCTCGTAGCTTTTGGATCTGATGCATAATATAAATTTATTTTTGATATATTCTTTCAGATTGTTGTCATTTTAATATTTCCATTTCAATCAATTAAAATTAATGAAGAAAATTATACATGGTCACATGAAGAAAATTAAGTTAATTGAGTAAAATAATTGCTTATAATAAAAATATAATATGTAATTATTACTACTTATAAATATAAAAACATATTAATCTTACTTGCGTTTGAATAAGAAAGGATTGTTGAATCACTTCCAAAAAAGAAATCTTCTCTTTTACTAGCTATCAATTTTTTTAATCTTTTTATATTTTCTCGTGCATTATTTCCCTCATCGAGATCTTGTACGATATTTGAGATTTCTACACAACGAGTGCAAGGAGAAATAGGTCTTACTTTAATTATGGGACTCACAATACTATCATTGATTTCAGATGCGTTTATCTTTTCAATATTATTTTTGGAATCTAGATCCCCATTACATTGTTCTTTTTTAGATTTGAAACATTCCTTTGAGATTTGATTGGAAGATTTTTTTTCCGTCATGGAACAATATGATTGTCCGACAAATGGTTTTCTAACTGTATTTTGTACAGGCGTCACAGGAGAAATCTTTTGATGCAATGTGTCATTATACAAAAGATCGTTTTTATTTCCGTTTTCATTAATAGTCGTATTATTCTTCTCTTCTTCCTCGTATATCATCTTAAGATATTAAAAAAAATTGATAAATAATGATAAATATCTTAAATAATTATTAAATGGAAAATCAATAATCAATAAAAATTGCATAAATACTAAAAAAATTATATTGTAAATGTAAATTATATTATAAATTTACTAGTAGTCTGTGAAGTTTTCTTCCTATTTTGTCCATATCCAATGTTATTTTCGCCTCGTCGGGATGTAATCCAGCTTCTAATAAGCTACGAAGAATTGATGGGACATTTTGTAAATTTATCATAATATCTCGTTTTCGTGTTGTGTGCTGTCGTTCTACATTTGACAGATCATATCCATTCCATGGTACATTTCCTAAAATGTTTAACAATATTAATATCAATTATGTTTTTTATAATGCAATAAAAAAATTTCAATAATTTACTCAAAACGCAATAATAATTTTTTTTTATGAATAGAAAATATTAATATATTTGCCTGTGCACATTTCCCAAAGTAATAACATTAGGCAATAAACATCGATTTTTTTGCTGGGATGTAATCCGTAGCATATTGCTGGTGCTTGCCATTTGAAACTCTCTAGTCGTAAATATCTTTCGTAATCGCGTTCTATGTAAGCCTATATGAAAATAAAAGAAATAATAACATTTAATAAACATCAACCAACATTAATATACATGTAAAATTTCTTATTCAATTTATTCTAATGTATAATATACAATACACTCTGTCTTATTATATTACATTTATATTATTGAATAAAAAATTATAATATCGATATAATATTTTCGTTAATTGTTTTTATTGAGAATGTTTTATTACAAAATAAAACGATATTCAAAATTTATTTTAATATTTCATATCAAATTATACATGCCACAAATATTCTACGAAAAAATATAAATTTGAAAATAAAAAGAATTGCGATATAAATGTGTAAAATTTTTAAACTTAAAAGATTGATTAATATTTAGATTTTGTGGTTAATATTTAGATTTTGATATAATACTACTAGTTGCACAAAAAATCAATTTTTCTTTGCAATTATTTTTTTATCATGATTCTATATTAATCTCATAGCTTTTTTATTATAAAAAATCATATTTAATTGCGATTATGATTAACGAGTTCCGCGTTCCAGACGGCGCGTGCGATTAACATCGACATGGTACAGCGAATTTATTCAGAAACGAACATTTTGTCGAAAACAATGCCAGCCGTTTCCGTTGGTGAAACGTTCATGGGTGTGTCATGGAATCGCGGATATGACGTGATCTGTTTCATTATAGCCCATTCTGTCTGCGAACTTTTTAAATCCGCTGGCGAATGACCTTAAATTCATAAAAGTGCATTCCTCGCGACTAAACTAGCAGATATGAATAAAAAAACACGCATATCTATTGTTTCGAGTAAATTAAAAGATAGTAACGTCGCTTTGACTATGTTTTTATATATATATA